CCATACAGGAGGCGTCTTGAAGCTGTCATTGACAACAAAGGCTTTTGTACAAAGTATTAGATAAATTTCAGTAAATACTTTTTCCCTGTGCCATTCCACATTATTACAAATAACTTCATTTCTGGACATTTATGGTTTGATTTCTTTGTATGTATGGATCACTTGGGTTGTTACCAACATCTGGTGAAAATTTCATGTCATTAGCACCTCTAGTAATATATTTACTGAGAAAAATGGTGACGTGTTCAATACTTATTTTACCTGCTGTGTATTTATTACAATATATGATCACATGCTCCTCTGTCTCTGACTGTCCACAATAATCAGTTTCCACTTTAATGTTTTTCCGGCCCACCCACTCACACCTGATTTTCATTATCTTTTTCCTCAGGTGTTTGTCCTTCTCCTCGTTAGCGTCTCTTAAATATTGCGTCACTCGGTTTGTCCAGCATCTGTGCATTCTGCTCGTCAGCCATTCGTGTTTTTTTCTCCTTTGTGCGATTATTTCTGAGTACCTTTTTGCTGCCTTGACAGCTTTTTGTTTTCCTTTTTTTGTAAAATAATTAGTTCTTCATTTTTACCTTTGAGTTCTGACTCTCTGGTTCTAATCCTTGGGTTCTTACCTCCTCCAAACAGGACATCATGACAAACTCGTTTATTAAGCTGAGACAACAAAGAGTTGGCATGACAGGCAAACACAAAAACAGAAGAACCAAGGCGACACAGAATGTGTGTGTGTGTGTGTGTGTGTGTGTGTGTGTGTGTGTGTGATGCTCAACTGAAGAACAGACTCACCTGTCTGTGAGACAAACAGGAACAGGTGAGGGTGGGTGGGGCAGGAACAGAGGAAACCACTGGAACAGTGACACTTAAGAAATAAACACAAAAGATGAACAAACAAAAACAAAAACATTAGGTGATAATTGAGACCCTTAGAGCCAAAGTTAAAGCTCCTGTTTTTGTTTGCACAGTCTGATCTTGGGGTGAATTTGTTGCGACATTCACTTCTGGAAAGATTTTACACTTGTGAATATTTTTTTCACCGAATGACGGATGAGTTGTTTAACAAGAGTACTTAGTTTTGTTTTGAACACACAACTTTTACATTTTTTGTTTTGTTTTTGAAATATTGACACAGAATCAGTTGTGTTTTTGTATATTTGATGATATATTTGAACTCAGTCTCATCTTTATTTCTATTGTGATACACAGAAACAGACTCTCTTTAAGTGACATCATCTGTTTGCCGGAATTGAAAATATTTGTTGGATGAGCAGATTCAAGATATTCCAGGTTTTCTGTACAAACATATTATCAGTGCACAAAAAAAAAAAAAAACACTTGTGTAAAACCACAAAGAAAGCAAAGACAAAACCCAAATGACAGTCGGACTGTTCTCACTCAGTTCCCAAAGTGGGAAGCATAGGAGCAACGTCAGGTTGGAAGTACTTGAACATCGTTAATGTACCAGTTTCAAGATTTTTGCTGTGCAGCTATGGTTCAGCCCATCAATACTTCAGTTAAAACCATGATCAAAACAATACTGTAGCATCCTACTGTGTTTGTCTGTTTGTTTGACTTTAATGAAGAATTTAGGATTTGTGTTGGCTGTTAATAATTTCAGTGTTGTTTATAATATTGTTCTTTTAGTGATTAGTCTGTTCCTGTTACTGTTGTGTATCCATTATTTGTTAGTTTGTGTTAAGCTATTCAGCAGAGTAACCATGAGTGAGAGTGGTAGTCATCAATAAACCCTGTGGGTTTTACTCTGTCTGTGATGTTCTAAATAAAACTTCCTCTAAGATGTTATCTAGTGGTTGGTGTTTAGCCATAACAAAAGTAGCATTGTCTGTCTCTGTAGCTGTGAGGTGCAACACTACAATATATTTCTATATCAGACTATTAAAATGCAGGTTAGGGTTAATTTAGGTTAGGCAATTTGACAAAACTCCTCGATTAAATTTGAAACATTTAGACTAAAATCAGTATTGATTTAAAGTTGGCAAATTCACCAATGTTGAGAATTATGATGTGAAATTGGCGTTGCTGTTTCATCGTTGATTAGATTTGCAAAATCTAAATAAAAATCATTGGTTATCCAACACACCTACCTGATGTTGATTCAACGTGACGTCAAAATGCCAGAATCTAATCTAATTAAACTTTGACTCTTCTACAAGATAAATGTTGTAAACTAGATAAAACTCTCATGATTTGTACCGTTTGGGTTATTTGATTCTTTGTGTTTTAGATCAGGTTTCACACCTAACTTGTTTTTTTTTTCTGTTTCCTGGGATTCTTGTGTTTACTGATCGATTTGTACCAGCCTCTACTTTATTACTGACATATTCTTGTGTGTTGTTGAGTTCTGTGTCTCAGCCTCACCTGGTCCCAGTGTCCTCCCAGGACCCCTCATTACCTCTGCTCCTCGTCAGGCTCCTGCCTTCACCAGGTAAGTGGGTCGTGAAGGCTTAAACTATTTTTAGTCGAGGACTTATACTTGGGGATTTTGAGTGAATTGCCGAGATCGAAACAAAAAGGGAAGCCGCAAAGTCGTGTTTTTCGTGATGCGACGTGAGCACTGATGGAAGATTTTTGTGACGTTGAGCCCATGAGCATCCTGTTTGTGGTTAAAGGTGTCATGGTTCAAAAGCATGAAAGATTGAGATCATGGTCCAGAAAACATGAAACTGGAAAGTTTGAACTTATAAACCCACTGGTTTCTTTCAGCAATCACTGGTATGAGTTAGGTGAATTTCTGAGTTGTTTTCACAACATAAACTTTCTAAACATACACTAATAACAAATGATAAATGGACTGTACTTATGTAACACTTTTCTATCCATCCAGGACACTCAAAGCTCTTTACACTACAATCTGTGTCCTCATTTACCCATTCACACAGCACTCTATGGGCCTCATGCAAGAACCGTTCGTACGCACAGATTTGTTCTTAAGTTGTGCGTACGAGTGATTTAGGAGAATTTGTGGCATTCACC